CCATGGGGGGAACACTGCCTAAGAAAGTCCACGTCAATTTCTGACAATTTACAGGAGTTTTCAGCGAAGCCTGCAAATTGCCGTAAACTGCCGCTAACCTGAAGTTCCACGACAATCTACAGTGCCGCATATAGACGAAAATCCCACTTTTCATGCAGTGTATGTAGCTAACATTTGGAAGAAGAATGTTTTCAAGATGACTTGGATAATAGCGCGTTGTGACAAACACCAGATACAGCACTGGGACTTGATCAACAGCCGATACCGCACCGTGACGTCACAAACCAGTAGGTGGCAGTATTGTTCTTTGACAAACATGGATGCCTCCAGTAAAGCACATTCACATGAAAATTACTCTGAATAAAAAACACTGATCATTTATTGAACAGGATGTATATAGTTTGATATTTAAGGTACTTTTAGAATTTTGAATTCTGAATATGACCGGACTTTTACTTTACGTGAAACAAAACTAATAAGTCTATTTTTAAAATGTAAGTAGAAAGTAGAGATTATGGCTAAAAAAATGTAAAAAGTAAAAGTACAAAGTTGCCTACAAAATAATTACTCCAGTAAAGTATCGATAGTCGAAATTTCTACTTAAGGTCATGCTTCTTTTTAAGGTGAACGTTTTCTTGTCCTTACAAGAAACTCCTTGACCTCCCAGTCTGCTGTTTAAAAGAGGTCTACATCAGATTCCAAAGCAGCGAGAAAGACTGTTGAATTTTTGAACGGTGCAGTGTTTCCCCATCCACTTTTAAACTGTCCTGTTTTATGTTTTATCTGCTAGAAGTGAATGATTTTTGTTTTAAGCAACTTTTAAATTGAAAAGTCACTTCAGTGAAAATTGTCCTGGTGGGTTAGAGCAGAGTGCTTGTGCTCTGAGAAGGCTGAAAGTATCCAGTTCGATCCCCACAGCCTGCACTCTGGGTTCCTGTGCAAAAACCTTAACCCCAAACTGCTCCCCGAGCGCCGCACAATGGCATCCCACTGCTCCCAAAGGGGATGGGTTAAATGCAGAGAGTGAATTTCCCCATTGTGGCATAATAAAGGCATTTACATTTGCAAGAAAACCTTTTTCTTAGGGCCATAAATGCTGCCGTTTTGTAGGTTGGAGGGCAAAATAGTTTCTTTAGAACAGGAACATTTAGATGATGTTTCCCACTTAACCCCAAAATTTTGTCTGGAAATTTTTTTTAAATTACCAAATACTTTAATTGTATTCTATACTGTGCAGAATTATTAGGCAAGTTGTTTTGAGGATTTTTTTTTATTATTGGGCCACAGTTGTGTTCTCAATCAACCCAAAAGACTCCTTTATATCAAAGTTTAATATTTTTGGAAATTGATGTGTTTTTTTTTAGATTTGGCCATTTTATAAGGATGTCTGTGTGTGCAGGTAATTATTACTGTGCAGAATTATTAGGCAACGTAATAAAAAACAAATATAAACCCATCTCACTTGTTTATTTTCACCAGCTAAACCAATATAACAACTCAAAATTCAGAAATAAACATTTGTGGCATTCAAAAATAAAACCAAATCAGTGACCAATATAGCCTCCTTTCTCCACCATGACGCTCTAAATCCTTCCATCCATAGATTCTGTCAGTGGCTTGATCTGTGTGCGATCCTCATTGCGTGCAGCAGCCTCCACAGCCTCCCAGACACCGTTTTCCCTCCCTGTAGATCTCACCTTTCATGAAGGACCACAGGTTCTCCATGGGGTTCAGATCAGGTGAACAAGGGGGCCATGTCATTATTTTTTCTCGTTTTAGACTTTTTTCTGGCCGCCAAGCTGTGGTGTATTTTGATGCGTGTGACGGAGCATCGTCCTGCATGGATATCAGGTTTCTATGGAATGATGGCGACTTCTTCTTGTTCCACTGTTTGAAGAAGGTGTCTTCCAGAAACTGGCAGTAGGTCTGGGAGTTGATCTTGACTCCATCATCACCCTGAAAAGGTCCCACAGGCTCATCTTTGATGATAGCAGCCCATAGCATTACCCCACCTCCACCTTGCTGCCGTCTGAGTGGATAAGGAACTTGCTGCCCTTTACCAATCCAGCCTGGTGCCCATCCATCCATCTGGCCCATCTAGACTCACTCTCGTTCCATCAGACCAAAACACCTTGGAGGATTCAGTCTGCAGATATTTCTTGGCCCAATCTTGACGTTTTGTCTTGTGCGTCTTGTTCAAAGGTGGCCTTTTTTCAGCTTTCCTTACCTTGGCCATGTCCCTGAGTATTGAACACCTTCTGCTTCTCGGCGCTCCAGACATGTTGCAGCTCTGAAATATGGCCCAACTGGTGGCTAATGGCTTCCTGGCAGCTTCACGCTTCATCCTTCTCAATTCATGGAGAGTTATTTTGCTTCTTGCGCCCCTGTTGGCTATTTGCCATGAACCGCTTGATTGTGCGATGATCCCGCTTCAAAAGCTTGGATATTTCCAAACTGCTGCTCCCCTCTGAGAGACATCTGACCATTTCTGACTTTTCACAGTCTGTCAAATCTCTTTTCTGACCCATTTTGCCAAAGGAAAGGAAGTTGCCTAATAATTAAGCACATCTTATATAGGGTGTTGATGTCATTAGGCCACACCCCTTCTCATCACAGAGATGAACACCACCTGATTTACTTAATTGGTAGTTGGCTTGGAGTAGGACAACATGTATGAAAAGGATGATGTGGTCGAAATACTCATTTGCCTCATAATTCTGCACTCAGTGTAGATGTAATACTTTTAGATAAAAGTCAGAAGTTTGGTTCCACATTCACTTCTCTGACTCTGTCCTCATCGTTTACCGTCACACGGGTAAAATAGATCTATTCAGATCGGCGTTGTATGATAAATAGTTCTCACAATCCAGAAGTGGAAGTCCTGGAATTTAACGGTTATTAAAGTAATATTTTAGTTCCCTTTTTTTAAATTTTTTTTTATGTGCTATCAGCCTTTATTTGAGCGGCACAGGAATCATTTCAGAGGTCATAATAGGCATATTGCCATGGTATATTATATTCTCCATTGGTGACTGTTTCCCAGTCATGTATCTAACATTAGTTTTACAGTCTTTGTGCTTTTCCATTGTCTTTCATCACTTCTATTCCTTCCTTTTCATCCAATCTTTACGTACTGAAGCTGAATGTCTTTGTGCCTCTTCTGCTCTCCTCTTTTAACACTTTAAATATTCCACTGCTCTTATAATGAAATTAACCAATTAATAACAATGACTTAATTAAAAAAGTTATTATAATTGATATTTCATACAAAGCGCTAAAGAGTTGCAAAAAACAAAGGAGACATTTTTCAAACATTACAGAAATAAAACAGATAAACAAAATATGTAAAAAAAAAGTACAAAAGGAAAGAGTAAATAAGTGGGTTTTTAAATTAGCTTTAAAAACAGCCAGAGAACCTGCCTGCCTGATGCCCAGAGAAGGATTTTATTCCACAGAAAAGGGACATGAAAAGAGTCGCCACGGTGGCTTGTTTTATTTCTTTAGGGATTTTTAAAAAGCAAAGCGCCTTGAGGTCTAAGAGCTTGAAGAGAGACATAGAGGTCAGAGAGTTAAGAGGGCCCCAGACTCTCTTTAGGGCCTTATTAACCTCGTGAGACATCCTGATCTCGCGAGCTTTCAAGATTTCACTCGCTTATCAGTCTGGCTACTCTCCGTTGAAGAAAATTTGGAGCCGTTCACCAAACTAATGTCCAATCAGCGTTGGCTTTGAGGCGGGTTGAGGTGTGACAAAACGAGAAGCGCGACAGTTCAGTCTAAAGAACATGGCGGCTTCAGCCGATGAAACTAGCGTTAGCGTGGCTATCGAGCAAGTTTTATCGGAATTATAGAGTATTTCTTCACTGAAAGAAGAGCAGAACACTGCTCTGGAGGCTTTTCTCAGAGGAAAAGATGATTTTGCTCTTCTCCCGACTGGTTTCGGCAAGAGTAGCCTGGCTGTTAGTACGTCATATGCTTCGTTGATCTGATTGGTTTATTTGGCCCGTCTATCACCAACATAGGCCAATCAGCTAACCAGTATTTTCGCCCCTTCCCAAAATTACTTCAATGGAAGGTTTCCAGATGGATATGCGGAGCAAATCCATCTGGCAGAGTCAGGTTAGGGCCTTATGGATGAGCAACAAGACCTCAAAGTCAAGGCAAGGCAGCTAATGAAGGAATGACAGCACTGAGGTAATACGCACAAAATTCACAGCTTTTTATCAAAACACGAGCAGCTGCATTCAGAACCATCTGCAGACCTCTGACACCTTTCCTCGGTAACCCAGAGGAAAGGGCAGTGGAGGAATCAATGCATGACGACAAAAATACATGGATAACAAACTCTGCAGGAAAGATTTGCCTTATTTTTGCCATTCTCCTATGAAAGATGAACTTTCCATTGATTTGACTTGCCTTTTCTTCCTCTATATTAACATTGTGTCTTTTTGTCAGATGAGCAAGCAAAGGCACAAATAGGTGAAACTCAAGACTGTTAAGCTGTAGCATACAGGGGCTTAAATGGGGAACTGTGGAGAATTTAAATAGTGTGAAAATAGACTTTATTTAATTATTAGAATCCTTAAAATGAAGGTCAGAAGGCCTTTTTTATCATCCAGTAGTCCATTATTATTAAAAATATTTTTTGCTAGGCTTTTTACATTTCTGCTACTAAAGAGATCTCTGGATTTCCTTAAGAATTAAATTGTACAAGTTTATTAAAACTTGTTAGAGAAGCACAAAGCCATTTAGCTTGTAAAAAAAACTTTATACATGCTGACGGAGTGGCCTTAATGTTGTTTTTGCCCTCTTTACAATTAAAGGAAAGCCTTTACGCACTGATCCATTGTACTCATTCTGTCACCCATACAGTGTTTGCTATACGTTCTCTGAGCTCTTCTCTTTCTCACTTGTTTTATCATCGTTTAACCCATTCTATTACTGTCACTGATGATCTGTTTTTGAAGTGCTCATTAAATTCATATAACTTTTCAAACTTCCAGGACGTAGATAAGACCCAAACTGAGATAATGCGTCACCATACCAGTATCAGTGAACTCAAGAGAAGCTTTATGGAGTCAGTACCGGCACCTCGACCCAGCGAGTGGGACAAGCGTCTTTCTACCAACTCCCCGCTGCGCACCATGAGCATCAACGGCCAGCTGCAGCCAGCGGTGAGTCTCCAGTCCTGAAAAAAATATGTCTGATTGTAGAAAACTCTCCTGCCAATGTGCAGAATCCCTGTTCTCAGTGGGTGTTTTTTCAGCTGTTGCTGTTATTGTCCACCTGCTTATATCGCTCACGGCCATGATAATAAAGAGTTCTATTTGTTTTTACAAAATGCATATGGAACATATGGAAATGGGCTCTAATCTGTAAATATATGTGTCCATTAAAATGAGTTGTCTATTTTCTAAAATAAATAAACTCAAGCTAAAACACTAACAAGACTATCCCGACATATACCAGTAATGCACTTAGTTGATCACTTTTTCTTTTGTTATTTCTTAATTTTTCACCATTTGATATTTAACCAGTAAATAAAATCTGTTTTTTTTTAAAGAGATGATTTTTAATCCTTAAGGAAAAAAATGCCTCTTAAACAACCACCTTTCTATACATTGTGCACAAACATATTGCCTAGCAAAAGTGCCATTGGCCGGTAAAATTATTTTATATCCCAGATGCTTTTTACGTATCTTATTTGAAAGGTAAGACCTTCTAGTTCCTTCAAATATGTGTACAGACTCTGTAGGTTTTACACAACCAGAGCTGTAGGGCTTTAAATATGTCAAAAAAACGTTATTTTCTCTCCTTAAATAAAAATATGCAATTTTTAATATGTTATATTTTTTGTATATTTCATAGTTGACCTCTTCCACTTTCTAAACTTGTTCTTTATGTTGTGGACAACAACTGTGTAATCTTTCAGATCTGTAGTCATAAGCATTGTAAACTATCGTCCTTTTTGTCTGTAAAAGGTCCATTTGCCAGAACTGTGCTAAATTTGGAACAAAAAAATTGTGAACTTGATTATTTGAATCTTATGACTAATTTGACCATAATAAACACATTTCTATGTTTAGATTTACACAAATTTTCATTCTAGCACTTTTTTTTTTTTTTTTTTACAAGATTTCCTATTTTGAATGTGCACATGGGGAGGGCCTTTTTTTACGTAGAGGAATTTTTCATAGTATTGTGTGTGATTCAAAATGAAAGTTAACAGGAAATTGTTGTTTTTCAAATAGTTTTATAACCATCCTAGCCAAATTTGGAACAGTTATTTATCCTTTGATATTAGTCAATATTACCAGGTTTGGTGTGAATATGTGCATATTTGAGCATTTATGGGGCATTCCAACTACTTCAGTATATGGCATTCAAGTTTAAAGATTTTTCTTTCAATTATTTACTAAATCATATAAAAAAAATTCTAGGATGTGCAGGATGTATTCCTTGACATTTGTGATTTTTGGGGGGGATTTTACTGCAAACTATGGATTTTTAATTATATTTTTTATAATTTTGAGTAGGGGTGTAATACCGCTAACCGGTCCTGGGGAGGGAGTGCTGTTTCTCCCTCATCTGAATATACAATTAGATGATAACATGGAAAATATTTTAATTTTCTCTACAATTTCATAATTTTACAGGTATATTTCTGATAGAAATTTTATATATATATATATATATATATATATATATATATATATATATATATATATATATATATATATATATATATATATATGTCATGTGGATGTATTCCCCTGTGTAAAGTTTAATTTATATATGTATATATATATATATATATATATATATATATATATATATATATACATATATATACATATATATATATGTATATATATATATATATATATATATATATATATATACACACACATATATATATATATATATATATATATATATATATATATATATATATATATATATATATATATATATATATAAATTAAACTTTACACAGGGGAATACATCCACATGACATAGATGATCTAAAATGGTGGACAAGTATCATTACGTAGATTAATTATATGTTTTCCTCCTTATGTTTTTACTTTTTATGACAAAAAAAAAACAACTTTTGGTGTGCTATTACGACATTTGTTTTTGGAAATACAACTGGATATTACTTTTCTGAGGAGTGTTACGGACAAAATTAGCTTATTTTTGCCATCGTCAGGCGTATTTTCGGATTGCCATCACAGAAAAATAAGCTGTGAACTGAAAAAGATAAATTTAAGGCAATGATAATTTATCAATTATTGTTTTTTGTAGTGCATGTTGGGTTACAATTGAGTTGATGGTCATTTTCCTGAGGATTGACTGATTCTAAAGAGGTATATGTTGGGTTTCAATTTGATATGAGCATGATATTTGATGCAAAAAAAATGTTGGGCGGTGGAAGTGAAATAAAAAAAAAAAATGCAAAGCACAAGCCGCCCCCCTGTGAGAAAGTAGCAGCTTTGCAGTAAACCTGGAATATTCTAGAATTTGAAAATGTATGAAAAAATACATATGAAAGAAAGAGGATTATGGAAAAATCCTAGCATTTCAGTTATTTTCCTGCCATTCCATTGGAAGAAGAGGTCCTATGTGACCCTTCAACTGGTGGATTTTTCCGCTTGCTATTAGGCAAACATCTTAAAGAGGTGATTTTTTTCCCATCTTTTCCTTCATTGAAACATATATTAGAGTTATAGCAAAGGGTGCACCTAGTGATTGTTTTTAGTAGTTAACCAAATGTTCAATGTTCTTTAAACTATAGCATGATTGTCAATAACACAATCATGCTTTTGTCATGATGGGTTCTCTAGTGAGACCCAATTATGCAGAACACCACGGAGACGGAAACTGAAGTAAAAGGTTTAACAAAGTTTATTGTCACAAGCACAAGATATTTCACTGGTTCTGGTTCACGTCTGGGAAACTGGTTCACTGGAGTCTGCGTGGGAGACAGTTCAGTTAGCGTTTGATCAGAAGAGTTTGATTCAGAGAGTTTCTGGTTTGTACCTTGAGGGTTCTTGGTTTAAGCCTTGAGAGGGAAACTGTTGGGTCCAGAGATAGTTTGTTCAGCAGAGTCCGTTAACTGCTTCAGCGTCTTACTTCTAGAGAGAGAGCTGACCTTGGCTTTGAGTTTCCAGCTCTTGGTCCAGAGCTGCATGGAAATCCAGAGAGGAGTCTTCAGGTTTGGCTCAGAGGGCAGGTTCGGCAGGTTAAGCTCTTCCAGAGCTTCACAGGAGAAAAACAGGTTTCCTGAAAGCAGAAACAAAGGTTAGAATCCAGTCTGGATTCAAAAGTCAACGAAGGTTCTCAGAGATACTAGGCTTAGGTGCTAACCAACTGGATTAAACACGGCGGCGTTGAGGCAAGATCTGAAGACAGCTTAAATACTCTGGATCCTCTGATGATGGGATGAGCTTCAGCTGTGCAGGAGGCTCGGCTCAGGAGGATCCATGGCGGACTCTGCTGGAGGAAAGTGGTACTTCTCCAGCTCCCAACAGTACCCCCTCCTCAACGACCGCCCCTTAGCGGTCCGGAAGATGTCGATGGACAGGAACGCTCGTACTCCTCGATCAGTGATGGATCGAGGATGTAAGAGCCAGGAACCCACTGGCGATCCTCCGGGCCGTAGCCCTCCCAGTCGACGAGGTACTGGCGACCTCGCCGACGGGAGTCCACGATCCGGCGGACGGTGGTGCAGGATGACCATCGACTTCCAGGGCGGGTGGAGGGGAGTCGGATGGTGGGCACAGAGGACTTGAGATGACTGGTTTCACTTGAGAGACGTGGAATGTGGGATGAATACGAAGAGACGGGGGAAGTTGAAGGCGTATGGCTGATGGGTTGATGACCTGGGAAATCTTATACGGTCCAATGAATTTTGGAGAGAGTTTACGAGACATTCCCTTGAGGGGAATATCTCGAGTGGATAGCCATACCTCTTGGCCCACGGAGTACTCAGGGGCGGGACGTCTTCTGGAGTCGGCGAAACGCTTGGTAGTCTCGGAGGAACGATTGAGGGTTGTGATGGTCTCTCTCCATATGCGTTGGCAGCGTCTGATGTGCTGGTTGACTGACTGGACCGAAATCTCTCTCTCGTCTGCGGGAAAAAGTGGAGGTTGGTAACCGAGACTGACCTGAAACGGTGACTGGCCGGTGGAAGCAGATTTGAGAGAATTGTGTGCGTATTCTATCCAAGTTAGGTACTGGCTCCAGTCGGTGGGATTGTTTGATGTCAGACAACGGAGGGTTGACTCTAGCTGTTGGTTCATCCTCTCAGTTTGGCGGTTGGACTGTGGGTGATAACCGGAAGTTAGAGAGTACTTACAGTCGAGAGTGGAACAGAATGCCTTCCAAACTTGGGAAATGAACTGGGGACCACGGTCTGAGAGGATCTCTTGGGGAATGCCATGTAGACGGAAGACGTGTTTCACCAGGAGCTGAGCGGTTTGAAAAGCCGTGGGAAGTTTCCTGAGAGGGATGAGATGACAGGATTTCGAGAATCGATCAACGATGGTGAAGATTGTGGACATACCTCGGGAGATGGGAAGACCAGTGACGAAGTCAATAGCTATGTGAAACCATGGATGTGAGGGAACTGGAAGAGGTTGTAACAGGCCTGAGGGAGGTTGGTGTGAGGCCTTATTTCTTGCACAGGTGGAACAGGCCAACACATATTCCTTTACATCTCTGTGAAGAGTTGGCCACCAGAAACGTCTTGAAATTAAACCGACGGTTCTGCTCACCCCCGGATGGGCGGAGAACTTAGCAGCATGCATCCACTGTATTAGGCGAGATCTGACAGAAGAAGGTACATAAGTTCGGTTAGTAGGACCGTTACCTGGGTCAGGTTCTGAAGCCAGGGCGGAATTAATTAGATCGGTGATCTCCCAGGTAACCACTCCAACAGTGCATGATGCGGGAAGGACAGGTTCAGGCATCTCGGGTTGATCAACGGAGTATAGACGAGAGAGAGAATCGGGTTTGACATTCTCGGATCCGGGTCTGTAGGAGATAATGAGGTTGAAACGAGAGAAGAATATGGACCACCTTGATTGACGGGGATTGGCTTGTTTAGCTGACTGGATGTAAGCAAGGTTCTTGTGATCTGTCCAAATGAGAACCGGGTGCTCAGCTCCCT